TAAAACTGAGCAGTGAGCCAAATCCACTATCTCAATACTGTAAATATTCATTTAAGTATTTTTAACACAAAGATAAAATGTTACGAATTGTGTTACTGCATGTTCAGACACAAAACAATATTTCCTTCAATTTTTTGCATAATATTGTTCCAATTATTATGATAGCTACTGTATTATGGATACAAGCAGATGTCAAAAGTAACAGTTGAGACTACAAAGAAGGACTGAACAGTCATTATTTTCAATAACTATTTTTGATTTGCCTAAATGAAAACCTTATCCAAACTGGGTTTGCATCACAAAAAATATATATATTTTAAATCAAATTTTGAATAGAAAGAGAAATAAAGAAAACTCTATCGGGTAAATGGCTAAAGATTAAACATAAATTGCATTAAAGAAAATGCAACTTAGAAAAAAAAGGGTTAATGATTAGATTAGCTTTGATTACATTGACGGATTATAACAGTTTCTCCAGACCTCAGATATTCATGAAGCTTGTTCCATTGGTGGGGATCTAGAAACACACAGCTACCCCTCCTGTTGTTTAGATTCTTGATACATCCTGTGTACTTGTCCCACATGTCTTGGGGGGTCCAGGTGTTTCCTAACGTAAAAGTAACTCAGTGATGTATCGAGGCCTGAGACCATTTAGATCTTTATAGACTTGTAACAGGATTTTTAAAAGCTATCCGTTGACACTAAGGAGGCCAGTGCAGAGATTCAAGGACGGGTGTGATGTGCTCCACTTTCTCAGTTTCAGTGAAAAACATGGCAGCACAATTCAAGACAAGCTGCAGCTGTACGTTTGATTTTTTTTACATTTGAGTGGTCTATCCAACTGAGCAATTGCATGAATACGTTTTTCTGTAACTTGTTTTCGACGGAAGACATGAATTCCTGCTATGTTTAAAGATTGAATTTGGGTGATTTTGTAATTGTCTTAACTGGGCCCTGTTATGCTTTATGGGGTTATCCCTTTCCTGTAGTGTATTATACTGGTTTAAGTGAATGTAAATGGTCTGTGAATACAAAAATCCCAAAGTTCCTTTAACGCCTTGATTGTATTCCTTTGTTTACTTCCACGACATCACTATGTAACACTCAAGCTTCTATAGGATAGTGCTCCAACGTGATAGGCTAAGGGGCGAGAAATCTCTAAGCAGTTGACCAATCACAACAGGAGTCAGGAGTGGGTATAGCTAACCAATCAGAGCAGACTGGGCTTAAATGTGACTGTTGAAACTAAAAGCAATAAATAGCATGACGTTGTTGATATTTTTCTTTTATCTATCTATCCCTCACCACACGGTTATTATTGAAACCATGGAAACGAACAAACGTAAAAGAGAAATGGTTAATCCCAATCGCCTGCCAAGTATCTTCCTAACCTTTCTAATGGCGGTTTGTCAGATATTTGTCTGCAATAAACAATCTGGCGCGTCAGGTTATGACTTCTTGTTATGTACTTTCAATTTCAAGCTGCGAGCCATTTTTATTCGCAAAACAAATGCTGAGTTTGGCACATTTAGTGACGTCATCTTATGTAGCTTTTTCTTTATTCGACTTCCCTTTTCAGATCCCTGTTGTCTCTTTCTTCCCTCCATCTTGTCTTTTTAATCAACTTTCTTTTGGGGGAATTTCTTGTTTTTATTTTGTCTTTCAGATGTGTATTTAATCCTACCTGTTGACTTTTACCCTCTCTGTTGCTGAGGTCGAAAATGCTATTGACCTACGCTTTGTCCCAATTTTGAACCAAAATAATGATGTTTCCGAAGAAAGTCTTTTTTAGATCCAAACCTAACCCACATTTTAAAACTCCATTTGAGTATTTCATTATTTTCCAAACAAGAGCCATTTTCCCTTTGGTAGCAGGAGGCCTTTTTCAAATAAAGATGTCTTATAGACCCCAAGAGACAGACAGGCTTTTCACAGCTCACCCGAGTAGCCTCACCTGTCCTGTGCCCTTTGTTATCACTGTTCCCCTCTGTCATGGGGGGCCTTCCTCCTCCTCCTCCTCCTCCTCCTCCTCCTCCTCCCCCTCATCTTGCCTTTACCTGACACCTCTCTGCTGACACCACATTTCGTTGCTGTTTGCCATTCGTCCTCTTCACAAGCAGCACCAAGGCCCCGTCTGAGGTCAACGAGGAGAAGGAGGAGGTTAGTGGAAGGGGTTTGGGGGGGGGGGTACCCTTGGCGCTGCTGATTTACAGCCCTGCCTCCTTGTGACATACAGCTCCAGGGGACGGGGCTACATGGGCCAGCTCCCTGCGCTTGTTACATTAATTTCACGGCTCTTGTCACTGCTTATCTCAAATGTCATTCCTGACTGAGTTGCACTGGACTAAATGTTATCTCAGGAACTAAATGTTAACACCGGGGCGGACTCTATTTAAAAACATGGACACATTTCCAGAAAGCAATAACAGCACCTCATTTTAGACGAGAGCTAAAGGACTTAATCCTGTTTCTCCGAAAAATCTTGTCTTGGTTTGAGAAATCCACACACAAATAAAGAAGTGGGGTTGCTATGTGACCGGCTCAAAGAAACAGAACAAGTCTGACAGAACACTGACATCATTATTTTGATGCTGTTGGTCTGGCCACAGAAAGCCGAATACTTCAGCTGATTTGCCCACAACAGAAACAAACGGCTATGGTAGGTTTTGTACCCCTGTTGCTCAGTTTGCATTTACATTCTTCCATTTCTTCTTGTTATAAAGATTATTGTGACACATGGACACCAAACTAATAATTTGAACTCAGTTTGCGACGGAAGACATGCAGAGTTGCTGCTGTCGTGATCACAGTAGGGAGCTCGTTCCACCATAGGAGGATAGCAAACCGGCGTGTTTTTTGAGTAGTACCTGGGTCCCACTCGCAGAGATGAAGAGGCAAGCCGATTGGCTGATTGGCCGAGCGAAGTGCACGTGATGGATTGTATGGTTTAACCAGGGCCGGAAGGGGCTGATCCCTTTATAGCTGGGTCGGCCAGTACCAGTGTCTTGAAGCAGATTTTGGAAGCCACTGGCCATTACCCGCTTCAAGACACTGGTGCATGGTTCACATTACCTGTAAAAAAAAAATCTAAATAATTACCGAATCCAATTATCAAATTATAAAAGAATGTCACCTGATTACTTTCCTTACTACTTTTTATAACCTCAAGATCAGATGCAATGCAACTTAATTAAATAAAAAATTAAATATCATGAAGATGGCTTTTACTGAACTGTGCTATACAGTATTAGACAACCTTAGAAAATAAGAAACCAAGTTATTTTGTATAATTCCTTCCTTATCAACAGAACATCCTCTAACTATAGTGGAGCATAAGAGCCCCCACAGTATTTTAAACAAATCAGGTGTCCACCTACTGAACTGTCAGAAGAAAAAACACAGCCAAACACACGCCTCAGGATTTCAGATACATTATAGAAAAACCTGCCGATGACTAATGCTGTTCAACAAATGCTTTTGTAGTTGGCCTTATTATGCTTTGTTGAGTTTACCCTTCCCTGCAGCGCGTTATATAGGATGTAGTGCATGTACATGGTCTACAAAGGTTAAAATCCCAGAGTTCCCTCCAGAGTGAGATTCTCTCCCACACACTCCCCCCAGCCTCCATTGGTTTCCTTTGTTTACTTTCGCGACATTGTGACATCACTCGTAATACTTTTGCTTCTATTGGCTAGTGCCATGCTAAGAGTGGGACATTCCTAAATAGTTGAACAACATTCACAACAGAGCCGGCCTTCTAACCAATCAGAGCAGACTTGGCTCTTGCTTAAAAGAGGTGCAGCAGCACAGGCAGTATTAGAAAAATAAAGCACCTTTTGAACATTAAAGCATGAAAACATATCACATTTGAACAAATAAACCTACAAATAACTATAATAGGGCCCCTTTAAAAATTCTTTTTTTGACTTCCCCTTTGTACGAGAATAAAGTAAAAAAATGTTGTATCTTGATTATGTATTCCGGTTACATATATTGCCTTACTCCCCATTCCGTCTGTGATCACTTAACAAGTTAATCCAAAAACATTCCCTCTAATATTCTACTATACCAGCCTGTACAGTTTTTCTCAATGCATAACCCAAAGCCTGACTGAAGACAGTTAATCGTCTGTATTTGCTCACTTTGAACCTCCTACTGTACTTTCAATGTCACGCCGTCATAAACTTTCACTAAGTCACTAAATGGTGTACCAAGACTATCCCAGAAGTCCCGCCAGGCTGGAACTATTTCTCCTAATGGCAACAGTTGTATAATTGATTTTTCTTGCTAGTGTCTGAAACATCTGAAAAGAAAGTACCAATTTGGAGACCAAATACCATCCTAGGAATAAGAAATGAAGAGGGGGGGGGGGGACTAAATCAAAAATTTGAAGGTGTTATGGACTGTGGGGATAACTTCGCAAGACTTCAACCTGAGTATTTCATGTTAAAGAGAATTCGCATTGGAGTGGGACTTTTATTGGGATAAAAAAAGGATTATAATGGCTGGAAACAACCATTTTCTCTCTAACTCAGACATTGACATGCTCCCTAATGGTATAAATGCTTCACTGTGCAATTTTAAAATGTCTCGGGGAAAGTATTGCTGTTGCAAACCCAGATAATACATCCTTGCTATCCACAATAATTATGCAACAAGAGGTGGGATCAGGCAGTACCCACTCATGCTATAATGATGACCACAAAGCCCTCAGCATACACCTGCATAATGGACATGGTAAAGCAAGAGACTTCATTGGTTTGTTTGGGTCGGTTGATATGGAGAAAATCCCATCCACGAAAAAAAACTACAAAATCTCACATTTGACCATATCTGCCTGCAGCTGTTAAACACTGCATTGAATCCTCTCTCCCGTTTCTTTTTCTCCCACGTGCACACGCGCAAACACACGTGCCCCACGCAGCCGGGCGCGCACACGCGGACCCCGCTCTCCAATGCGCTGCACACAGGAGCCCCTTACAGTGCCCGCGCCTGCTGCCTGCGATCACTGCTCGCCTCGCGTCTCCGCTGGATGTTTGCGCAGCAGAGGACACCTGCCTCCGCCGATCACCGCACCGAATCCCACCTCGTCGTTAACTTTTGCACCGTGTGATGTTTTTTTCACCTGTTCCAAGACTATCGGTTGAAAAAAAAAAACCTATATACCCTGGCGTTTGACTTCCAACTTGGATGGATATTTGCGACATGTTTAGAAAGTTCCCCCTGCGTCAAGGAGCATGGGCGCAAACTTTAGAAGCTTTTTTATAATACAAGGCAGTTTTTTAGAATGAAGGCAGGCGAGTCACCCGAAGCGTGAGTTGCGCGTGGAGTTCCAGGGGCTCTCCAGGTGCTGGGAAAGGAAAAGGAGACACGGAGGAAGTCGTGATCTGTGCGGCGGATTGCGCCACGGAGGACCGGGGGGGAACGGACCGATGAGCCATCATGGGTAAGTACGAGTAGGCATCATCAGTCTGAATCATCACTATTATTAGTTGAGCGTATGTGGTCCTTATTATAACAATGAGGGTTGATATGGCGCATATGATAGTGTGGATGTTTAGATAATTCCATCTTTCTTGCGGGTTATTCGCTCCAGATCACTACTTTTTTTCCAACTGCCAATATTTCTTGAGATTATTTTCGTTGCTTCATCACCACTGAGAGGTTTTCCTGCTCTATTAAATGTAAAAACACAAACACTGCAGGAGGGAGTGCTGGTGCCTCAAGAGGAGGATGGAGACAATAATGCTCACACCTTTATGTGGAAGTGAAGCCAAAATGTGCGACGTGAGATTAGGTGCACAATGAGCTGCGGTTAAATAATAGACAATTATGTGTCATTTATTATCATTTCATTTAATCGTTTATTCGAACAGGGACAATGCACATTGATGAACACTTTAAATAAATAATGCATCAAGTGTAAATATGCCGGATTTTAGCTTTGAGCTCATTTCCATCCGTAGTCCCTGACAACATTTAAGTGTCATATATGACATCCCCCGTATTGAAGTTGCATATCCCCCCCCTCTCCCTCTTCTCCTTATTTTCTAATCAGAGCTCTGGCATGTTTTGACTCCATCCACCTCCCCTCTTCTCCTGACAGCTCTGAGCACCTACAATCTCATCCCACACTGCCTATCAGCCTCCTCCATTTTACTGACTGTGGGTGCTCCAAGCCTCACAAACCCACACTTCTCTTCGGTTTTCCCAGCTCTTTTTTTTGCATATTTTTTAGGGGGGTGCTCAAAGAGAACGGTGGGTGTTCCGAATGTCACTGAAAATGCGTGAAACGAGGTTGAAATTCAAGCCCTCTGCAGGTGTTATGATGGAAAGCCTCATCTCCCTTTTTTCTTTTAAGTGCAACTTTTGTTGAAAATCTCAGTGAAGGACTATTATTCAGCAGAGGCACACTCATGCACACTTGTTTGATTGGCGGTTAGGTGCAGAGAGAGGCGTTTTGAAACTGCAGCCCCACTGTGATGGATTTTTGTTTGTCTCGCTTTAGTTATGCCTCTTCTTTTGTTTCGTTTTTTATTTTTAAATTAACCGGAAAGCTGGCACAGGCTGCAGAGATGCGCGCGGCCCCGCACATCTGTGCAGAATGGTGGCACTTATCCAAGTAATGAGCAGCTTAGCTCGACTAATGAGCACATGCTTTTACAGTTTTAATTATGTCATCACATTTACTCTCAGCCAAAATAAGTGGCTGCATTGCTGAGGATATCAACACTTGTGACTGAATTGCTCTCTCGCAGTGTGCTTCTATCTTTATCCAATGTCTTTTTCACAAATTATGTAGGAGGGCAATATTAACTCGATATGACCTTTTCTTCCTTAGGACAATTAAACATGGCATCAACTTAATGTGGCGTAATGCTTGTAGTCTAGGTGATCTTCCATGCAAATGATCCTAAAATGCTGTTTGTAGCTTCTCAAATATGGGGATGTTCTGGCTGATGTCATATTACACTAAATATGTTCAGCTTTTTAAGTGACAAACACGATTTTAAATCAACTTGGATTTTGAAAAACTAGTAAGGCCATCATTCTCCATTTTCTGATATTTTTTATCAATCAATCAATTAATCAAAGTTTATTTAAATGGACCAATATCACACATTTTACAATTGTCTCATGTCTAACAAATGTTTCATTCTAATAAATCAATGAATCTAGGATGTCAGGCAGATTAATCAATAATGGAAATAATCCTTGTGTGCAACCCTGACAGGGCCCTGATTATGATCTGCACAGACACTTGTTGCTGTATTTGAGAATACCAGCATAGTAAGAACTACTAGCAACTAGAGTTGCAGCAAACAATTATCTAAAGCATGATTATACTTTGACTAAATTGGATTAACTCCATCATAATTTCCCTGAAATGCTTGAATTGCCTGGCCACAACACCATCATTTGCAATTTACAGTGATATAAAACCAAAAAGAGCAACATTTTGAAATGCAGAACTACAGCATATTTTGAATTTTTGTTTAATTGTATCTTCTATAATTGACTATAGGCCTGCAATTTACGGATATTTGCAGAATAATCTCTTGATAATGTCTTTTTTATTTGAAAAATGTAAGAAAATTGTGTAAAATGGCATCCAGTGTTTCTCAGAAGCCCAAGATTAGGTCCTTAAATGTTCCATTAGTCAAGTGAGAAGTAATGAAAAGCAGATAATATTCACATTTGAGAAGCTAAAGCAGACACTATATTGTTCTTAATAAATTACTTAAGAATCAATTGTTGGTGAATCAATAGTTGACAATTTATCGATGAATGAAGTATCAAGTAACGTCGTATTGTTAGGCTTAGGGTTATACGAGCCAAAACAAGCTACGAGGTAAATACTGGTTACTGACAAGCCCAACACTGATTCTAATCACATGTGTGTGGCCTTAGCTGTGAAATGTATATTCAGCTCATCAACCCACAACAACAAAGCTCTGCAAACGATGCAAAGAGGGCTACATTAACTTTATTTGGGGCGGGCAAAGCAGGAGTCATTGTGAACAACAAGAGGCCTGACAGAATGTACTCAACTCATGTTGTAGTACTGCTTAGCAAGAGCAACTGGGCAATTATGTTGAAGTAACCTTCCATTTTTACGGTAATCCATCAGTTTCCTACAGCACACAGACAGTAATTGGCCTTTGGAGCCATGTCTGGAAACATAAGCTGAATTTCTGCTTGAAAACAAAACAAACCTGTGTACACATTTTTTGCAATTCCACCTTTTTTTGTTTACAAGTGAACATAATTAGAAGATCCAGAGGTTTGCCACTGGCTGAGAACCACTCATTTCTCCTGCAGATTTAACACCATTATGCAGAATTTGAGAATATGATTGGATCAAATGTCTTCACTCTATAAATGAATTATCAAGTCCTTATTAGATGAAATAAACATTGAAATTCAAGTTCTCTCTATGCAACCGATTAAAGGCAGTGGCAGAAAATGTTACCAGTACTTCTTCCGGAGCCACGTTATGCATGATAAAGACACATTTTAAACGACATAGGAGAAGTAACCTTGAACATTGTAAATGGCTCCAGCAGCTCCTTTAACAAAAAGCTCAAGCCATCAATAAGGATTACTGTGTCAGCACGATGCATGTTTCCTCATTCTGAGCTGACTGAAAGCTCCCATCAGGCTCTTTCTGCAGCAGTTTAGTAATATTCACTTCACCACTACCCACACACGCTTTTAAACCGCCAAAACACAGCATATGAAATTCTTTCACTGCAACTCTCGGTCATTCCTTTCATTTCATTCGTCCTGGTCGACCTCTCGGAGTGCTGGACTTTCTAACATCTCAAAGTTTGGACTTCTCATCTGTTTTGTGTTCTCAAGTGTGAAAGACAAACAGTGTGTCCTGCACATTGAAGTATTGCAATGTGATACGGGCAAAGACACAGAACTGAGAACAAAGTCTGGCGGTGAGCAATGTGGGAGCTGAGCTTGCACAACAAAAAAAACAGACTACAAGCACATGGTAATGCGTTGAGTATATTTATACGTCCCCAAAGCCCACTACAGCCTACGTTGTTTTTTTATACATTTTTACGGTCTCCCTGAGAGCTCTGAAAATTAACAATGCTTGCAAATAGACACAACGCAAGCAAATTAAGAAACACCTTCACCAGTTTCACAACACAAACACAGCAAGTAATGACAAAGGCAGAAAACCCCTGCAAGGAGCTAACAACGGAACCAAAGCAGTTATAAATTAGGCAGCCCTTGTTGCCTTTTTTTCTGTATTATCAAATTATTTAAGTCTGCTATCCTTCAGTGGTGTTGAAAAATGACCTGATATCTAAAAAAAGCTTGATTGCTTTTACATTTAAATGGATTTGCAAACATTGCAGCCCTTGCCAAAAGAGTTAATCTATTCCTTGAATAAGCCTATATCCCCCAGGGAAAGAGTTATCTGTATTTATATTTATATATAACGTAGTTTCAGATTTTTTAGATAATGTGTTCGGCATCTTTGGCTACTTTTCTGAGTAAGCATATCCATTTTTATGGCATTTTCTTTTAATTTAAACCTACCTCTGAATGCTGGCTGACTTTTTTATTATTATAAAGGCGGTGTAATGTGATTACCGTGCAAGCCAACTTTGATATCTTCATAAGCCACAAACTATAGCAACAGCTAGCTTGTTCCCACTGTTTGCTTTTTGTAGTGTCCCCCGGAAAAAGTTTGTGTTGTTTTGTGAGCTTCTTGCATCCATTTTTTGTTTTTTGGGATACATTGATTAAGTTTAATCTTAACAATATGATAATAATTGTACTCCACATGGCTTCAACCCATTGTCATTACTCTCTTGGCCACAAGAGGTCAGTAGAAAAAAATATTCTAAAGGAATCAGGTAAGATTAAGCAAAAGTATTCAAATAAATGTATGTTTTATTTCCTTTCATCTTAATTTGTCGCTTCCAGTAACTTTACTAAGCATTCCTGTAGTTTAAAGTTCAAATGACTAATTAATGACAAATGAAGAACGGTAAATTATATATAGTCTATATAAAATGTAACTTTCATTTTAAGTATTTATTTTTTCACTTCAGAATAAGTATGCTTCTGACCTTGACTGACTCCCAGCATAGCCGACACACACTCATCATCCATGGTGTGAACTCCTCAGGCTTTACATCAGGCTCTCCTCACACTGGCCAGCTTTAACGACTTGTGTGTACTGATCTTTTGACGCCAGCACTTATATCGATAGATTCAGCTTTCTGCCTCTCTGCAAAGATTTCTAATAACTTGGGTGTGTAAGTAGGTCCATTGGAAAGCCACTCTCATTTAAGTACCGAACATATAGGTTTATGTATAGTTTAAGCTGTCACATTTCAAACCGCTGTTTAAGATTGATGCTGCTGTTAGAGAGGCAAACTGTCCACCTCGCGCTGCTGTAGGGGAAAAACTGTATGA